GTTCAGATTTTTGTTTGCAAAACCAACAAGTTAAAGCAGCTTAAAAAGCTGAAGCCACTTGGTTTGGTCGCAAGAAATTGTGATTGAGATAATTTAAAAATTGCCAACAAGAACAAGGAAAGAGCAGAAGAACACTGTGAAAACCGTTTTAGATGACAATAAAGAAAAATATTTGTTGAGTGTGCAAGTTCTTCAAAAATTGTAAAACACACCGGCTGACATCGAGGGAGTTTTTTCTGTACTAAAAAAAGCCAACTGGTTCATTGGAACCGAAAAACTGTTCATTTGATCGTTAAAAGTCAATATAAAAAGCCCAGATAAAAAATCATAAAGCACACTTAAGAAAGCACAAACTTAGAAAGATGTAACGAGAATCGAACGAATCGAACTGTTTATTCACTTTCTCTAAACATTCTTCCAAAATATCGTCGTTTGATGTTAACAAATAATGAGATAAAATCAGAGTGGAATGTATTTGTATCGAGTAAAAATCGAATAAAATCGATAGAATTGAGAATCGAAATTTAAAAAAATGTTTGAAAAAATAATATAGCAAGACGTTAAAGAGCCACAAAAATTGGCAAAGTGGACAATACGAATCTACTTGTTATTTAAAAGGTATTGAAGTAATTGAAAATGTAATAGAGAAAAAACCGATTGAGTTTAATGCAAATGTGTAGTGATTTTGAACAAGAAATGTCTTCTAAATGGGGATACAGGCAGAGCTGAATATGAAAGAAACAGGCCTTGATAAATAAGAATCTTTTTTTCGATTAAAAAAAACTTCAATTTGTTTAGTGCAATCGGTGCAAAATGTTCAAATCGTTCGTAAAAACCCTTATAAAACATCGCAAAGCAAATGTACATAACACAAGCTTACAGGAAAAATAACCAAAAACTACTGCGTTTTCAAAACGAAATCGACGAAGATTAAATAACAAACTGAAAAAAAAAAATAGTTAAATTAAAACTTAAAAAATTATTAATTGGATATCAATAAAAATAACAATGCAAAAATTTGCACCGTGATCTGTTCTGAATTATAAAATTATTAATTTAAAAACATTGAACCAAAGAACAGATCAACAAATAAAAAAATCGAGTCAAAAAGATCCCAATGAAAAAACGTCCTGGACGAAGCAGCACTTGAACATGAAAAAGGTTCAAATTGTTTGTAAAAATCCTAAGTAAGAAATCAGAAATACGTAGATAGAAAATAATCACGCCAGCACGCTGGACTCAGCAGGTCAAAACACCTGCAAAACTGAATTGCAAACAAAATTGAATAATGGTGGTCGTCACAGGGCAATTTATTGCAGTTTTTCACTCATTTTTCGAGTTCCTAGGATTTTTGGCTGAAAATATGTTTTGACGACACGAAAAAATGATGGTGCCATACGATTCAGTAGCTGAAAATACGTAAGAACATAGAACTTGAAGGAAAACAAATTAACACCTTTTCCCATATAAAATCTATAGAGAAATGCAGATGTTTCGAGGCACGTGATCAATCGATATCAAAAGTTCAATGCAATTTTTCTCAGAGTTTTTAGAGCCTATAGAAGAGACTTTCACCCGTGGAGAAAGTCCCCGAAGAAATGAAACTAAGGTTCGAACATTATAAAATTAATGAATAACACTTCAGGCAGACTTCGCTTTACAAGTTTGCGAAAACCCCACAATTTAAATATTAAAAGATAGTAAAATTGTGATGAACAGGTTCTTCTGATCAACGAACTTGGTGCCGCTGGAACTTGAAAAGACAATTTTAAATGCCCTAAAGAAATATTTCCAACACTGCTAAGAGGTTATTTATTGATAAACCTTAATTATTGAAAATTGAATTAAAGTAAAAAAAATAAATTTTAAAGTTAACTCGTCAGCCATCCCTAGTTTAACTTCCACTTGCACTTGAAGCTTTCAGAGAAAAATATGACAGGAAAAAAAAGGACGCAAACAAAATTATAAAAGTTCAAAGAAAATCACCCAGTAACCCTACATGGACTTATATTTGTGAAAATAACTCGAAAACTAAGACAGATCCGAAAAAACTGCAAGTGATCAGAAAATTCTCAAATTGGACAATAAATGCAAAAATGTGTTCGGTCGAAGTCAGTGGCGTAGCGCAAAAAAGCTCCTGCGGGTAAAAGGGGATATGCCTCTAGAAAAAAGAACACCCTGTAGATTTTCACAACCAGTCGCCTTACCTACACGCTCCTGCTTTGGGTACATAAGGTTGTGAATCACCCTGTATAATCAAAATCTGCTGCAGGCACACGTAAAAGATTATTGTCAAATCCAGGATCCTCATGTCGTAATTATTTCATTAATTGTTCAGCACGTAGTTCAGTTGTTCTCGCTATCCACTCGCGCACCCATATTTTCCTTTTTTTAGCAAGTCTTCGTCTTTTTATAGTTGAAAGCACAATTAGAGCAGCAGCAAGTTTTCTCGACATTTTCAAACCGAAAGTGATCGACTGAAACGAGTACGGAAAAGTCTGTGGAGATAGAAAATTGTTGCGCTGCTATAAAGTAAATTCAGGTTTTTGCCACGACAAGCTTTTGCTGATAGGTTGTGTCTAAACACAGCCTGTTTGATAAAGTTCCATCGCCTTCTCCATCGATTTTTTTAAATTTAAAGTGCGTTTCACACGCATACGTTGTGCCTGAACCGCTCTAACCCCAGTTGCATTACCTTCCAATAATTCAAAACGAGTTCCGCTACACGTTTGTCAAAGCTCGTAATATCCCATCCAACATTATAGTGTAATCGTGCTATGTGGGTTGCTAATTTGTCTCTCAATAGCTCTGAGATGTCTGATCTTAACCGTAGACCGGCACTGATCTGTTTCCAAACATCTCTGATGATATTGAACACCCTTGAAGCTTTTGCCACAGTGATCATGTTGCGAATGTACGCTGCTTCAGCAACCTTGGGAAAACTGCATAGGAAAATGGATTAATTCAACAAAATGAAGCTGGAAGTCAATATTGCACACTTACTAATATTGCGATTCTTTGAAGCAAAATTGATTTTCGGAAAGCTTCAGATACTCAGGCTCCGGCTTAGCTTGAGCCAGTATTTGGCTGCAATCGCGTCACAGCCAACCTGACAAATATGGACATTCCTTCAGGATAATTGTGGCCACCGCGAATAACCTCCAAGTACTGAAAATTAATCGCATTCTACTCACAATTCCAAAGAAACCCATTAACTGTCAGAAAATGGGTTGAATTGTAGCCACCGACAATTTTTATATGAATCATAACTGATAAGTAATATACAGGGTGTTCAGAAAATGCGTTAGAAAATTTTTAAGGTCGATTCTACATGCTAAAATAATGATGGAAAGTCGTTCCACCATTATTACCATTATTCCGTCGGAGTTAATTGACTATCTATTCCCATAAAGTGTTGAGCAAGCGGATCATACAGGGTGGTTTTTTAGTGCGATAGAGTCCTTATTTTCGATGGTGTTGAACTTTCGAAGAATAGTTATTGTAATTGTTGATGGATAAAGTGCGGACATTTTAAAAAAATCGACAATTAAATTGCGAGGCAAGACCAAAGTGTATTTTTTAAATAGAATTACCCATTATTTATTAGCTCATGGAATGGAGCTTGAAACGCTGCATATGCAATGTAAATTTGTTTTTTTATTACTTGCGACGTTGGCAGATTATCCCCATTATAGTAAAATTTTGTAAAAATAAAAACATGGTATCTAAAAATTCATTGTAGAAGCAAAAAAAAGCAGTTTAAGATACAAAAAGAACTCTGTACAGATTTTCAATTTTATTCGCCCAGAACTGTTCAGAATAGGTCAAAAATAAAAAGAAAAAAATAGTTTGATGAGCTGTAGCTCGGAAAATATTCAGATTTCGAATTTTTGTTACATGACTTTCCACCATTATTTCAGCACGTAGAATCATACCTAGAAATTTTCCAAGCACCCTGTATATTAAAATTACCATTTCGATTATACAATACGAGAGGTCAGTATAGCAACTAACATTTGTATATTCTACTAGGATTCAAATGTAATTCAATAAGGAGAAAACAGTTTAGAGACTAGTTCTCTAGCAGCTTTAATATTGAAAACATTTTCAAAATGTGTATTTATACAGGGTGTCCGGTGAGTACATGGCATAATTTGAGCAGGCTGTACGGGATGTCAAATAATCCGAAAGTGGCACACACAAGTTCGGTTTAATTAAGCAAAAGTTTTAAAATTTGATAGCAAGTTAAGATCTCAAGACAGTGTGGCCAGAAACCAAATGTTATAGAAAACTTTTTTGCAAATAATTTTTATCAAATACTATTATCAAACCCAGGAGGGCTCACCTCTCAGGAACTGTTCGAACTAAATTTCCTAAAAATCTGAAATAACTGTCGTCGGTGAAGTCCACTGATACGTGTATGAAGGTGCCACTAGACAGACCATTCCATTTGATGAATTCTTCTATAAACGTCGCCACATCGAATCTGATGTAGTATTGGCTCATATATGCATGAAGGTTTTCGAATTCTGTTCGGACCATATGGCCGGATTGGCGACCGTGAAATTTGGGCACTATCTGTAAACATTAGCAATAAACGAAAGGTTTCCCTATGTAGCATAAAAATACTAACTTGTAGAAACGTCCTGACAATTTTAGATAAGTCCTGTGTCGTGTTCTGGAAACTTTCTATAGATTTACCAAAAAAATTAATAATCCTTATCATTTTCTCAGCGTTGTGCGTGTTTTCCAACGGTTTCATAATTCTCATCAAGTCCATTGATGGGGGTCCGATCTGAAAAAGTGATCATAAGTTAACCAAACATAAACAAAACCGTCAACCGTAGAAAGTTGTAGAATAAATGTTTTTAATTAGAACGTTCGAATACTTTAGTGCACTTTAGAAGATCTCATGGCCAAAGCTTTTATGCAGGGCGTTCCGGCGATAGAGTCAAGTAAGTTTAAGCTTGCCCAGTGTCGTTAATTTTGATTTTTTTTTGTTATAAAAATCTAAAAGTGAATTGGATAGTTTTTTTGTTATTCGGGTTTAACGATGAAATTTCGATTTCTCATGGTGTGGATTAATTTAAATTTTCACGGAACTGTTTTTTAATCAGATTATTCTGTAAGAGTTTTAAATTGAAAGCGGATCATATAATAAGTGAAAATTTTACATTTTGAAGGAAAAGGAAAATTTTGCAACAGCCAAATGGTTCAGACAGCATTGCGTGCACTTTTGTATATAAAGTATACAACTTTTAAAAATACACAATTTATCGTAATATCCAAAAATCGGATCCGATGTAAGTTGGTGGTGAGTGAGCGTATTATACAGCAGGTGATAAATTTCAACAATCTGCGGGTACAGGTATCGAGCAGTGGAAGTACAGTGAATGAGGTGGAGAACCAGACCATAAAAGCCGTAAAAGTATAAGGGTGTTTGCAAAACGTAATTTGGAGGAACAAATATATGACCACAGAGAACAAGACACGAATTTATAAGTCCTGCGTCAGGCTCATAATGACCTACGCCGCCGAGACACGAGTTGAAACGTCTGTTAGCAAAAGAAAAATGAGAACAGCGGAGATGAAAATTCTAAGAACCATAAAGGGAATCACATTGCATGATAGGATACGCAACCAGAACACCAGAAGAGAACTGGCAGTGCAGGACGCCGTCAGATGGGTGTGAGAGAGACGCTTGTATTGGAGAGACCAGATAGAACGAATGACTCCAGACAGAATTGCAAAGTGACAAGACACAAAAACCAGAAACAAGACGCGAGTATGAAATCTAGACATCGGGATCACAGGAAGGTTGATGACAAATTGACAAGACTTTGTACTTGGACACGGCCCAGACAGCACATGACCTCTTCTTTATGCCGTTATTATGTCTGAACATCGCATGTCTCTTGATGATGTATTTAAGACACTTTAAAGATGTCTACTAGAAGACGTATTGTAAATGCCTGGCACAATACGTCTTTAAGACGACTTTTAAATGTCTTCTACAAGACGTTTTGACGAACTTGCTCGAGTGCATCCGATTGCAGTGAAAACATTTAATTTCGTTTATTAAATCGCCTATTGCGGTTAGTTATACAATGTGTTTAGCTTGTTTGAAATTTGTAAATTTGCGGTTTATCCAGAAACGAACATGAAGCGAACATGTGCAAGTGGTAAGCTAAACAAACATCATATATATGAGGGCCAAGAGAGCCACCGAAAGACAGAAACTTTACAATTCCCTTGAGAGTTCGGTTAGTGGTGACATCGTTTCACAGCCTGGGAGCAGCTCAAACAACTTAACGATGCAGGTACAACAAGTGAACCAATGGGGGCGTTCAGCCGACTTAACAGTTGAGTCAAACCATAAACATGTTTCGGTTATGTTGATACCCAACATATTTAATTCGTCTGAACGGCTTTGTTTCAATTTTTGGTGACGGACATCCAGATGTCAATTTGAAGATAGTTAGGCTATGTAAAAAGCAAATAAACCGAATAAACTAATCATCATACTTTCGTAATCAGGGATAAACATCATGAACCGGCAAAGCAGTTTTTCTGTTACAAGAACTATTTGAAGACGATATTAATTTTAATGCTGTTCAGATTGTTGTAGAAAATCTGGTAGCACCATCGATACCTGTTTCCCATAAAAACAAGCCGTTTTATAATGAAAATTTTCTGCTTCAAACAGTGGGGAATTATTCTTGTCTGAGTTTAAAAGTCATTTTAGAAGGTCTCGGACAAATATTAGTGACTCATGTGCAGTGATAGCACCATACATACATAGTGCAAAGAACATGACCTCACTCTGTAATGCAACATAACAACAAAACAGATATACTCTGTAATGCAGAATTGTGGTTATAATCCCGAAGCAACCAACGATCAACCAACTTCCACCATACAAATTTTCTGGTGCCGATGTTGACCAACGGTTGGCAGTAATCAATTTCTATTAGGCGTCGTTCAGCTGACTCAACAAGAAACCGCCAATTCACTAAATCTTAATGTCAATGACAATAGTGAGTTTTTGTGCCATAATTCGGATACTGATTCCATAGCAGACGACAATGAATTTGAAGGTTATCCTACTTATGATAGTTTTACCAGTAGTAGTAGTAGTAATAACTCATTTCAAACAAAGTTGGCAGAATGGACAATGAAGCACAACGTAGCCCATACTAATTTGAATTACTTATTAAAACTAGTACAACCTATTTGTAAATAGTTGCCTTTGAATGCAAAAACCTTGCTTCAAACAGTCAAGTCTGTTGAACTAAAATCAGTTGCGCCCGGACACTATTATCATTTTGGGCTTAATAAGTGCCTCAACAGTATTTTTAACAGTTTAGGCCAAAAGTCAATTAACACCTTGAATAATTCAGTAGGTTGTCTTATAAATATTGACGGATTGGCACTTGCTAAAACTTCATCTAGTCAGGTATATCCAATATTAGCCAGTATTTCCAGCAAAAAAACATTGTAGAAATGATAGGAATATACCATGGCAATCAGAAGCCACAACCCGCCAATGCATTCTTGTCCGACTTTGTGCACGATGCATCTGAAGTTATCAATAAAGGTTTCTTGTATTAAAATCAATATTTTGCAGTATATATCATAGCAATTATTTGTGAAGCTTCTGCAAAATCATATCTTAAATATATTAAAGGTCATTCTGACTATTCTTCCTGTTCAAAATGTAATGTTGAAAGAAATAACTCTGACAGGGTGCATTTTCCTGACACACATAACCTACGTATAAGAACAGATTGTAACTTCCGACAAAAAACTGATGACAGCCATCATACTGGGGAGCCAATTTTATAAAAACTACCCAAACTTGACATAATCAAATCTTTTCTGTTAGACTATATGCACTTGGTTTGCTTGGGTGCTAAAAAACTCTTGTTATTATGGGGTTGTGGTAAACCTTCAACGAAATTATCTGCTAACAAAATAGCCTGTATTTGATAGGCAAAATACAGAAAAATAATGGAATAAAAACATGTTATTTTATTTTACATTCCTAATAGGAAATTTTCCATAGAATATTCCTAACATCCTTGAAAACGTCTTTCAAGAAGACTTCCCTTTAAGACGTCTCTTCAAGTGACGTCTTAAGACGTCTTTAAGATGGCTTTGTGCTGTTTGGGGAAGTAGAAAAAGAAGATGTTTTGATTTACTATTATTTTGTTTAAATTGACTGCATTTTAAAAACATAATAAAAACATATTATTTTCAATTCAACTTTTCAAATAGATAGATTGAAAGTAAGGAAAACTATAGACTTGGCAACTTCTTCCATATTAAATTTGAAAAGTTTTCACGCAATAGTTTCTGAGATGGTATGAGACCTTTGACTTGCATAAGAGAGAGATATTTCCAAACCTTAAATTTTGGGTTTAAACCAAGTGGCCGATCGTTTTATACAACTGCAAGCTTTACCAATTCGGTTTCGTACCGGAAATGACATAAAAAATCGAAATCAAAATGCCCCAAATGTTGCAATTTGTTCCAAAACGGTAAGAAGAAGACCCAATGAATCCGGATCGAGTGCAAAACATCCCGCAAAAGGTCCCCTCCTAACCATAGCCCACAAGCAAGCTAGGCTTGAGTTTGCTCGAGAACACGTAGATTGAGATTTGGAAGACAGGAAAAGAGTCTTGTTTACTGATGAAGTTAGAGTGGGTTTAAAATATAAATATAAAAAATATTGTAACGGAAATGGCCTGGGGTACTCACGTTTGGAATGGGGGGATCGAAATTCATGGTATTTCAGTAAATGGGAGCACCATTTGGGCCCCATTTACTGTCAAATAGGACACTGACAAGCGGGAAGTTTCGCACCTGTTCTGGAGATTTCGAGAACTATCTGGGTTACCTGGAGGAAACTATATAAGCGACGACGAGAACCAGACGGGGGGAGTGAAGTGACAGCAACGACCGGGTGCAGAAGAGGTTAAACCCCGCGAGTCGGAAGGGCGAGTTTTCCGCCCGTTATTGTTACTGTTTGTGAAGTTGACGGTAATATTTTGAAGTTAGTTTGTTCCTGTTCCGTAGTTAAAGTGGTACCGAGTTGAATAAAAGTTGGAAGCTGAAGAAAAAGTTTGATACTCGGCCATCCACGGTACAATATATATGTGAAATTTATGCGCATCTGCCAAGTCAAGGCGGTCATTCATAGCCTCATAACGATACTTCATTTTTCAATAAATGTTTCAAACTTATGCCACATACAGGGTGATTCAAAATTGGCGTCATTCCTCTGGGGGTGTTGTATGGCGGTGTTTACGGAGTAGAGAAAAAATATTAAATGTTATTAAAAACTGAGAAATTTGCAAAAAACTATATCAGAAATACGGCAGCAATGTTTTCCAAGGTAATCTGCCTAATTAACATTGCGCAAATACCTGTTGCTTCGTAATTATTTAAAATTCCGGTAATCATGGATAAATAGAGAGTGACAATAAGATAGACAAGGATAAACCGTAAATTCAACAGGAATCGTTGAATGACGGAACCTATTTCAACATGTCAACCTGCTCTCATAACCTTGAATTCTGTGGGGTTTGGTATTTACATAAATAATTCATACAACACCAAACATTTGAATGGTTAACTCCAAACAAGCTAGTGCCTGTGTAATCTCCTTATTATCCACTCTTATCAAGCAGGTTCTCGTATTCAGTTAATTAACTCGTGCTCCATTTGTATCTCCTTGTGCTGTGTGTATTGTACAAATGCCATTCCTCGATATTTACTTGGTGCTTGGGAAAG